TTTATTTATTTATTTATTTATTTATTTATTTATTTATTTATTTATTTTTCAAGACAGAGTTTCCTTGTGTAGCCCTGGCTGTCCTGGAACTTGCTCTGTAGACCAGGCTGGCCTTGAACTCAGAGATCCACCTGCCTCTGCTTTTCTAGTGTTGGGCTTAAAGACATGAACTGCCACCATACAGCTCAGACATTTCTTTCAATTAATATATCAAACACATATTAAGAATCTATTACAGATTTTATAGTATTCTAGGCATGCTATAGGACACAGTATGTTGCCTCTTGAATAGGATTTGCCATGGGTCTGGGATAGAGCTCAGAGGCAGAGTACTTGTATAGTACTCAGTATGAGTACTCTGCAGTACTCAGTATGACGTCCTGGCTTCAATCCCTTGCACTTCAACAAACAGACAAACTTTTGATATCCTGGACAATGAGTTGTGTTTTAAAAAGTAAAACAAAAGCCAGACGTGGTGACACACGCTGTCACCATATCATGGGGACCAATCATGCTTATAATCCCAACACTCGGAGGCAGAAGGACAGCGTGCAAAGCTCTCACCAGCTTTGGAAAACACAGGGAGACAGTCTCAAAAACTCAAAAAAGGCTAGTGAGATAAATCAGCAGATAATCGTGTATGCCTCAAGGTTTGACGAGCGGAGTTTGATCCCTGCGGTCCAGATGATGGAAGGAAAGAGAGAACTGATTCTGGCAAGTTGTCCTCTGAGCTTGATTTGCACGCGTGCGCGCGCGTGCGCGCACACACACACACACACTAACTGAACAGTTCTAAGCTGGTCCTCTGCTGGGCCTTCCTGAACTAATTCTCACGGAGGAAATGTAACGATACGAAACATTGCTAGAGGCAGCCTGGAAGTCAGCCTAAGAGTCCCCAGTCACTTGCACTGAACAGCTGAGGTGAGGAAGATGGTTTCCTGGAAGGACACGTGTCCCCGAAGCCGTGAAAGAAGAGCCTGCTGCCCTTTCTGTCGGTGAGTGAGCAACTTCATCCCTCCACATCCTAGGAACGCCAAGCCCTGACCCCCAGCCTCTGTTCAGGGTCCTCTCAGCTACCCCGCCTGGTGCCCACGCATCTGCATCTCGGTGTATGCCCATCTGCTGATGCTCTTCACAGCATTGCCTTCCTCCTGTTCCTGGACAGCCTGGACTGCAGACCTCACCCCACAGCCCTCTACCTCCGCCATTTCATTTTCTTTGTCTCCACTTATTTTAAAGGCACTGCCTTCTTGTTGTCCTTTTAATACTTGGGGATGGAATCCACATCCCCAACATATGGCAGATAAGTGTTCTACCACTGTGCCACAATCCAACCCTGCCTCCTCCTCTTCTGCATCTTCTCCTGGTCTTCCTCCTCCCCCTTCTTATGACTGAAAATTTAATTAAGCCAGAGTCTCTATATGAGTCTCTATATGAGACTCTATATGAGACTCTTGCCTATCTATGTTAGGCAAGTGATCCCAAGCCAAACCAGTTAATTCTTTCAAATACTTTTTTTTTTTTTGTTGCTACATTTTAGTGTGTGTGTGTGTGCGTGTGCGTGTGCGTGTGTGTGTGTGTGTGTGTGTGTGTGTGTGTGTGTGTGTGACCATTCCATCCACAGAAGTCAAAGGACAATGTGCAGGGATCAGCTCTCTCCTTGGTTGGCTCCTTTAGGTGCTAAGCCATCTGCCCTGTCCCCAGATTCTTTCTTTAGAGTACCTACTCCTCCAAGCTTGCTACTGTTTCTCCTTTCCATCTGTGTCTAAATAGTCTAGGTCAAAATATTTGTGATTTCAACCTTAGAATGGGCTGTCTCTTCAAGGACTACTTCTTTTCCCTCTCTTTTAGTGGGAAATGCTAGTTAGTAGGCAAAGTGTCAGTGCTAATGGGCTTAATTAATCCCAAAACAAACAACCAAGTTAAAAAGAGAGCCATCTGTGGCACTGTTTGTAAAAGTAATGAGACAAAGGGAAAGTATATTTGGGGCATTTAATAGGCAGGGTTGAGTCAGAGTCCGGGAGAGATCTCCAAGGAGGGGCCAGTCAGCTGAGCTGGCTGCTTAAAGCCACCCAGTCATTCAGGCGCTCAGCAGGCGGGTTTCAGACAAGGTGGGTTTCTTAATGTCAGACAAGGAACTTGAGAACCAAATATTCTTTTTTGCTCATGCTTCGAGACAGGGTCTTGCTGCAGTGACAGGCACACAGCACCATACCAGGCTTCAGATGGTCCTTTCAGATCTCCATCTCCAGCGTTTTCTTTCTCTGCTGTTCTCAGCCTCTTTGGTGAGGTGCATCAGCCGGTTCCTGAAAGACTCCCCCAGAGGACGCCTTCCTACTAAGAAGCGTTGGCACAAATAACTGCAAGAAGAAAAGGTGCCGTTCTTTTTGAAGATTCCCTATGCCAGGATCAAAAGTGATGCTGTGTTAGTCGAATGAATTTATACCTCCCGCCTGCAGAAGACAGAAAAGGCCTCTAATGGCTTGCCACGTTATGCCTTTTGGAAGGACACTGTCTCTGTCTATTATAACCACTGACTGTGAAATAAACTTCAGAAACTGAAGGTGGGGAGCAGGGTAGAGGAAATCAAAGCGAAGCCAGGATCAAAGGGACAAAGAGCCCCTGAGATCTCAAGGGGGAAGTAGAGCCGTTGGCTCCCCTGGGCTGCCCTTTCCTGGTTTCCCTTTTAATAAACACCCTGGGCTCTTCCACCAGGTCGTGGGCAGCCCAGGGAGAGGGCCCAACTTCAACAACAAAGAGAACAGGGGAAGAGAATACTTAGCACTTGAGGAGGAAAGACAGGCCTCTGATATTTGGGTGTTGGGGATGGGAAAGGTGGCAAGAAACACAGACTATGCAGAAGGGATAACCACTCCAAGTGACCTTGACTGTCCCGGCCTGGCTGTGGCTCCCGGCAACCAAGGCTTCCCTCAGGACACAGGTGTGTCTGAGAATTGCCTTTTTCATTTCACCTAGATTTCACCTAGTCCTCACCTGTGTCTGTTGCAACAGATGTTATCAACACTAAATCTGAGTAGTGGCCTAAAGCATTTAGCACATCTCGTCATGCAGTGAGCTGCCCCTGGGGTTGGAGAGGGCAAATCCAGACCCTGATGTCAGCTGTGGCTGTGTAAACTCGCCTTGAAATGCAATCTCCTTTTCAGGAACCAATGCACTGGCTTGCTTCTGCTTGAGGAGGTCTTTTGTGGAGCCTTAAACTCCACAGTGTATCTATTTGTGAAACAGTTCTCCTTTTCTCTCTCTCTTTCACACACACACACACACACACACACACACACATATATTTTGTTTGTTTGTTTTTTGAGACAGAGATCCACCTGCTTCTGCCTCCCAAGTGGTGGAATTAAAGGCATATGCCACTATGCTAAATTAAAGAAGACATTATTAAGAAGTGGAGCTCTTTATATTTTCCGCTTGGAGAGATGAACATGAAAGAATTACTATTTAATATACGTTACAGCCGAGAAATACCAGCAGAACATAGAATTTGAGTTCATTAGTGTTTATGAGGCTAGGGTATTAGTTTGGTGGGTAAGGTGCTCTCTCTTCAGCATGGGGACATGAGTTTGGATTGTCAACATCAAATGCAAGAACCTAGCACAACAGAACATGCCTGCTGTTCATGCCTGGAGTTTAAGAAACAGTCAGAGCCCGGGAGGTTGCTGGCCAGTCCCTCCAGCCAAACCTGTGATCCCCAGGTTTAGTAACAGACCCTATCTCAGAAAAGTCAGATGAAGGGGCCAGAGCAGTTCTAAGTGGCTAAGAGCTTTGCTGCTCTTAGAAAGGATCCAAGTTTGGATGCTAGCACCTATGTTGGACAGCACACAACTGCGTATAGCCCCAGCTTCCGACACTATCTTCTGGGCTCTGTGAGCACTCCACTCACAGGCACGTGAACACACACAGAGAGAAATAACCTCTAATAAAAAGTAAGATAGCAAATTGAGAAAGATACCCTATCACCCCCGCCCTCCACGCACAGGCACACACATGCATACGCACACACACAAGCTGCTTATTAATTGGGGAGGGGCTGTCTCTACCATGGTGCATATGTAGAGGCCAGAGGACAACTTCGTGAAGTTGCTTGCTTCTCTCCTTTAACATTTATGTGGGTTCTGGGGATCATCAGCCTTAGAGGCAAGCGCCTTTACCCGTGAGCCATCCTGTCAGCCCTCGTACGGGGCATTCAGACTTTCAGTGCACATGTTTGTGTACAGGGCAGCTTTTGCAGACTTGCCGGAGTGGCCTCCCTCCCCCCTCGTCCCTGAACCAAGGGGAAACCCAGATATCTCTGTATAGATAGGGCACACTGCATCCTTTACTTCAGTTCTGCAAAAGTCAAGTTTTGGTTGTTTGGTTTTGTTTTGCTCTTCAGGGACCAAATCCAGGGCCTTGGGCGTGCTATGGTGTGGGTCTTGTTAAATCAAATTTTACCCATTTCTTCATTTTTATCCTTTTTCTTTTCCAGGATCTAACCCAGAACATCACACAACGGTTATTCATTGAAAAGATGAAGTGCGCTTGGTGAACGGTGCCTGTATTCCCAGCACAAGAAAAGTGAACCAGGAGGATCAAAAATTCCAGGCCTGAAGCTAGGAGTGGTGACATATGCCTTTAATGCTAGCACTCAGAGAGGCAGAGAGCAAGGTGAGTCCAGGACAGCCAAGAATACACAGAGAAACACTGTCTAGGAACAAACCAAACCAAACCAAACCAAACCAAAACAGCCCCACCAAAGCACTCACAAACAAACATCTGTGCATGTGATTTTTTTTTTTTTAATTTACTTTTGTTTTTGAGGCAGGGTCTTGTCACATAGCTCTGGCTGGCCTAGAATTCCCTATGCGGAACAGGTGGGATGGTGTGATCCTTCTACCTCCACCTCCTAGGCTGAGGGATGACAGGCATTCGCTACCACAGCTAGCTTTTGTGAACGTGATTTAAAATATTACTGAAGCAGTGCTCAAGGACATAAAAGGCTCTCTCTCTCTCTCTCTCTCTCTCTCTCTTTCTCCCCCTTTCTTCTTGAGACAGGGTCTCTCTATTATATAACTCTGGCCATCCTGAAACTCACTATGTAGTCTAGGTTAGCCTTAGACCCATAAAATCCCCTCTTCCCTCACCCCCTACCTCCTGAGTGCTGGGATTAAAGGTGTGTACCACCATGCCTGGCTGAGACTTTTTCTGTCGCTTCTAGCTCTAACTTGAACCTTCTCTGTATCAGCACAACAGCTGTCTTTTTAGGCACATCCAAGCACATGCAAGAAAAAAACTCAGTTCAGAGCCAGGAAGATACTCAGCAGGTAAAGGTGCTTGCCACCAAGCCCGATGGGCTGAGTCCAATCTCCAGATTTATATAGTGGATGGAGAGAACCATTTCCCACAAATTGTCCTCTGACAACTCGTGTGCACATTCACACACATACACACACACAGGGAGAGAGAGAGAATAACAAAAAAGCCAAATTTAGAGCAAAAGGGAGAATGGGCGTTGCTGAGCTCTTGTTTGGTGCAGATTCAGGACAGAATTCAGACTGCAATTCAGGACAAATCTGAAGGAAAATGGTCAAAAGGAAATGATGCCCGTTGGTCTGTTTGGAGGCTTGTCAGATCACAAATTGCTCAGCCACACATTCCCAGCTCCCAGGAGGACACACCCTGTCCTGTGTCTGTTTCTATGAACCCATTTCCCTGCCCTGAAGGGCCCCTCTTGAGCAAGCAGATGGTGGCAGAGGACAGGGACCGACAAACGACCTGGGAGGATTTTCACATAGCAGGCTGGAGAATTCCTACAGCTCAGAACCCAGCCTCAGTGTCTGGGAGGCTCAACTGTCACTGGCAAGCTCCTTAGGACTTCTGGTTTCCCCTCCAGGCTGGCCTCCCGACCCCTTCTGCTGCAGCTGAAGGACAGCAGCTCTTAGGTGGCAGAGACTATGCCTCTCTCTCCTTCCAAGATGAGTGGGGTCTGGCATTCCCATCGAGTCATATCTGGAGGTCAGCTTGGCACACCATCTGTCTAGGTCTTCGGGCTTGATCTGGATTGTAGTGTATTTCTTGGAGAGGAGAATGGGAACACACACCAACTATATAAGAACATGTATGAGCACAGCCTAGCACAGCCATAAATGTTTTCATTTTCAAATAATTCATTTAAAATAATGTATTAAAAATGAGTGATGGGCTGGGTATGTGATTCAGTGATAAAGGTCTTGCTGTCATGGGCAAGGCCCTGGGTTTGATCCTCAACATCACAGAAAAAAGAAAAGAATAAAAGTAGTCATGACATTTCATGTTTAGGAGGCTGAGGCAGGTAGATCTAAGTTCAAGGCCAGCCTGGACTACATAGTGAGACCCAGTCTCTAAATTAATGAGCAAATGCTTTGGGTATGTAGCCTCGTTGTTACGGTGCTTGCCTGGCACATATGAGGCCCTGTGTTTGATCTCCAACACTGCATAAAGTCAGGGATAACAAGACCCTGATAGACATATGGGGGTGGGGGAGAAAAGCCTAGAAAAATAAAAAATTGATTTTCTATTCTGTACACTGTGAACCTTAAAAAAAAAAAAAAAAGAAATAGAAGAGGAAAGAAAAGGAGAGGGGTTGGAGGTGTGTGTGTGTTGGGGGTGGGGGAGAAGGAATTAGATGGAAAAGCAGGTCTGGGGTTTCTCAGCATCCTCAGAAGGCAGGAAGCCAGGACACTTTCCTAGTGATATCGCACTGATGAACAACTCAAGACTAGGACTTTGAGCAGATCCCTTTGCGGTTTACACCTGGAATAACTGCTCGTAGTAGTTACATCCACTCGCGGCTCTTCCAGAGGGTAGGGGCTCAGTTCCCCGCACTGTGTCAGGAGGCTTACACCCTGTATCTTGGTTACAGTGCAGCCATTGTCCTCTCTTGGCCTTCACGTGTGCGTTGGTACATACGATGTGCTCGTGACTAACCCCTAAGAAAACAGATCTTTTCCTCTGAGACCTCCTATTAGCACTCTAGCACCAGCAAGAACGGGCCGCCCTTGGACTGTGCCGTGACTCACCCCTCCCTCCGCGGAGAGAGAGAGAGAGAGCCCCTTGAGGCTGTGGAAGCAGCGCCTCTGTGCCCTTCTGTTCTGGCGCTACATACGCCACTGATTTCTCCCTGAAGCAACGTGGTTTCTGTTCCAAAGACGGTCACTGGGGTCCGGGAGAAGCAGTGATGTACGCGGCGGATAGACGCTCACGGTGAGAGAGCACCGGCTAGCAACGTTTCACGCGCGCGTGAATGTTTATTTCCTCGGGTCCTGGGCACCGTGGGGACTCTTTTTAGGAGCGCTAACCCGGTGCCACTTCGACCCACCGCGCTCACGGCATCCCTAATTGACAGGTCACAGATACTCTAGGCAGGAGCGCCGCCCCTGCTCAGATGTGCGCCTGTCGCCTTTGAGGTCTCTATCTTCACCCCCCTCGGACTCAGGATGTGTCGGGGTGGCTTTGCGGAGCGCCGGGCTGGGCTGTTTGACCAACCTGGAGTAAGGTCTAGCACATAGCAGGGGTGGTAAACAGCGCCTTTGATGGTGACAGGAGCACAGCGGGCCGGGCTCAGCGCGGGGAGGGGGTGGGGGTGGCACCCGAGAGACCCAGGCGCTCCTGGGGGGCATTCGACCCCGAAGAAGGGGGCTCCGTCCAAAGCTGGCTCGCCCCCGAGGCGGCCCCTCCGCAGCAGAGCGGTTCTAGGCATGTGGATTGGTGGCCGGACCGGCCAGCGCATGGGCGGGGAAGGGACGGAGCGGCTGGGACTCGAGTTCGCGCCCCCCTCCCTCCGTCCCCTGGTCAGCGGAAGCGATTATTCCGGCGGGCGTCTGGCAGGGCTTGGGCGGGCTCGCGCCCCGAGGAGACGCGGCTTCCCCCGCACCCACGCCTTTGATGGCGCCGCCGCCCCCCTCCCCGGCCCCGGGCCGCTATAACTGCAGGCGAGCGGGGGTCGCGGGCAGCCTCCGGGAGCCATGGCCGCCGCAGGGTCCCAGCAGCTCCAGTTCGCGGAGGGCGCCGCTTTCCCCGCCTTCCCCGACGCGCACCCCGGAGGGCCGCTGCTCCCGTCCGCCCGGCTGCCCCCGGCGGCCCCCGGCCCCCGCGCCCCAGCGGCCACGCCGTGCTTTCCGGGCCGGGGCCCCGGACCCGCGGCGCAGACCCCCGCCGGCCTGGATCCGCCCGGAGCCCCCAAAGGCGCGGCCGCCCCGTCGGCGCCGCAGCGGCGCAAGCGCACGGCGTTCAGCTCCGAGCAGCTGCAGTTGCTGGAGCTCGTCTTCCGCCAGACCATGTACCCCGACATCCACTTGCGGGAGCGCCTGGCTGCGCTCACGCTGCTCCCCGAGTCCAGGATCCAGGTGAGTCGCGTTCGCAGATGAGCGTCCTGGGGAGTCACAGGCTTGTTGGGTCTTTGATTTGGGGGAGGAGGGCCAAGTTAGTCCCTTTGAACCTCACGATTCTAGACTACAAAATAGGGATGCTAGTGACGGCCTTGTGAGTTTGTCATTTGGGCTGGGAGGCGTGCTCACTCCTTGAAAGGTGCCAGCACGAAGGGGATGCGACCTAGTTGGGTAATTGAGTAGTTGCGTGCTTTTCCAGTGTCCCTTAAGAAGACAAAGGAGAGAGGTGCCGTCAGGAGCCTTCCTCTGGCTTTGGTTTTAAGTAGCAGAGCAGGGTTGGACCACTGGGTACCTTCAAAGCAAGCAAGGAACTTCATGTCACTTTGAAAAAGACAGTGCAAAGCGAGTTTGTCTGAGATCGTTTAGATCCTAATCCTGGAGTTGTTAGGGGAAGCTGCGTGTGTGTGTGTGTGTGTGTGTGTGTTTGTCTGAGACAGGTTCATGCTGGGTAGTCCAGGCTGTACTTGAATTCCACAGTCCTCCTGCCGCAGCGTCCTGGGTGCTTGGATTACAGGTGCTCCCCCTCCCCCCCCACCCCCGGGTTTAGAAGCTTGCCTTCTTGACTGTTAGTCTGTGCTCAAGTGCAGTTTTATACGGGAGGCCTCATTTAATCCCAGGAGAGTGTGGACTTTTTCTGTTTTTACTTTTCCTGTACTTAGGGTAGTTATTCAACTGTCACTCCCCGCCCCCTCAAGACAGGGTCTCACTGTGTAGCCCTGGCTGTCCCGGAACTCTGTAGACCAGGCTGGCCTCAGGGATCTGCCTGCCTCTGCTGGGGTTGAAGGAATGTGGCACTACTCAACAGTTGTCACCATGGGCTTCCTAAGCAGGACACCTTCAGTATTTGTGGAGAAAGAGTAAAGAAATTTACCCACAGAAATGAGATTCCCTGAGGAAAAATACCTACTTGGTTTGATGAGGGAGGCCAGACTTTCAAAAGTAGACTCTAAATAATTTTAATGTCTGTCACCAAAGCAGAGTAGCCGTGTTGCCCGAGGGCCATGGACCTCTTTTCTCATTGCAAATGTCCCCATAGAAAGTGTAGACAGAAGCTACGTTTGGTAGCACATGCCTGAAATCCCAGCACGGAGGAGGTAGAGGCAAAAGGATCGAGGTACTCAAAGGCATCCTTGCAAGCCCAGGTTCCATAAGACCCTGTTCTTTTTGTTTGTTTGGTTTTTTTTTTTTTTTTTGAGACAGGGTTTCTCTGTGTAGTCCTGGCTGTCTGTCCAGGGACTAACTCCGTAGACTAGGCTGGCCTCGAACTCAGATCTGCCTGCCTCTGCCCCCCCAAGTGCTGGGATTAAAGGTGTGGGCCACAACCGCCTGGCTGAGACCTTGTCTTAAAAAAAATGTGTGAAATAAACAAACAAACACATAAATAAACCAAGTAGAGCAAGTATAGATAGAACCAGGCACCGTTCCAGCAAAATGAGAATGGCCGGGAGGGTGTGGTGCCCTGAATACTAAAACTATCAGCTCAAGTGCTTTCTGTAAACCACAGGCTCTGAGCAGAGAGACATGGTTAATTAAAACTGGAATTTATATTCTTAGTTGTGAAGGAAGCGATAGCACAAGAACACCAAGCCAGTCTGGGGACGTGGCTCTCTTTGCAGAGTGCTTGCCTTGTGTGTGTGAGGCCTTGGGTTCTATCCCCAGCGCCTCTTAAACCGGATGTGGATGCGCAGCTCTGGGGAAGTGGAGGAAGAATCGTAGGGTCAAGGTCAAGGTCATCCTTGGCTATAACCGGAGGTTGAGACCAGCACTGGCTGGACATGCTCTCTCAATCAAAGCCCAACCCAAAGAGCTGAGCAGTTTTTTTCCTGACCCCCAGGTGTGGTTCCAGAACCGACGGGCCAAGTCCAGGCGCCAGAGTGGGAAGTCGTTTCCGCCCTTCTCCTCACAGCGACAAGTTTTCCTCCATCGCTCTGCCCCTGGAACTGAAGCAAGAAGTTTGAAGCCACAGCTGCCTCTGGAGACAGATGTGAACTGCCTCCCCGATCCCAGCAGGGCCGGGGGTGGAGTCTGCGTACCGGGTTCCCAAGGTCAGAGTTTTGAGAATTATTCGCCCCTCTCTGAAGATACCGGCTCAAAGTTGGACTCGTGGGAGGAGCACATCTTTTCTGCCTTAGGTAACTTTTGAGGATTCTGGGCGAGGTCAGGATGCATCTGACCGGCCACGGCCTTGCTAACTAACGTTGATGATGGACCGGGATCTTCTCTCGAGTGCAGGTCTCTCCTCTGCCACACTGAGCCTTTACCGGTGGCCTGCTCTCTGGGGCCACCCACCTCCCACCCAGAAGGCCCCGTGCCTCTCCAAGGCTGCACGTTTAACTTGTCCACACCCCCTGGGCCTTCTCACGAGGGCTATTCCTATTTTCTTCAGACGGATTGTTCAGAACATGTTTTCTTCGCAAGAGACGTCAGTTTGACTCAGTTTCCCTTTTCTCGGCAGATGCTGTCTTCTCGTGGTCCTTCTAGGGCCTACAACCTAGATTTCATGCACTCTAACCCGAATCCTGGGCTCTAACCTTATCACCAAGATTTATCACCTTTTTTTTTTTAACCAAATCCTTGTTTTGTTGTTGATCCTACTGTGTAACTGAGGCTGACCTTGACCTCCCAGTGCTGAGATTACACGTGTGTGCCACCATGACTAGACGCTTCTGTTTTGTTTAAAATTGTCTATGATGTACAACATATATATCCAAACCGAGCTGTTTAACACATGCATGACCTCAGTCACCTTTTTTTCTGTAATGACACGTAAAATCTATTATTTTAGCAACTTTAAAGTATATGAAATATACTATGAAATACATTTCAAGTACATGAAATGTTGATATTAATCATAGCCATTACCGTGTATTTCTTCAGCTTCTCTGTCTCCTAACTGAAACCATGAATCCTAACCACCTGCCTCTCACTTGACTGGTTTTTTTCATCCGGCCTGTTATACTCAATCAGTAAAGACACCACATTCAAGCTCTTTCAAGAGCCCCATGCTTCTCATACCCCATCTTTTTCTTTTAATTACTCTATTTGGAAATTAGTAGCAGCCTCTGCTTATCAAATTATAAGATGCTTTCAAGCATGCTCCCAATAAATGCCCTCATCTTATGCAAACCTTAAGATCATTTACCCACAAGGTACTTCTCTGTCTCAGTCCTTCCTTTCTGGTTGGGACTCAGTGAAAAAGTCTCTTTCAAAACAGCTTGGGCACCCACGTTTCTGAAGCCTACACTTTTTCTAACTAATCTTAATTTTTATACCTGTTATTTTGACAATCATTTTTCTTGGCACTTGTTATGTTTCCTGTGCAACATTAGTGGATTACCGAAAGTTTCTCAGTGTTCTTATGTAAATTCCATTCAAATGAATCCTGTTTTCCCATGCCTCAGTGCACAGTTGCTGAGCACATTAGTGAATGGCTGAGAAAAGATTTTGAAGGGAAGTTTCTGCAAATACTGTGTATTGTGAATTTGAGTTAAAAGCTTACTTGCCAGGCTGTCGAGATGGCTCGGTGGGGTGGACACGTTGCCCCCAAACCCACAACCCCAGTTTGACCTCTAGGACGCACACGGCAGAAGGGAGAGCTCATTTTCTCAGGTTGTCCTTTGACTTACACACACACACACACACAATAACGAAAGAAAAGCCCTTACTGTTTAGACTTTCCCATTGCTGTGGTAAGACACCAGGGCAACTTACAGAAGTGTTTAATTGGGCTTACGGCTACAGAGGGGCAGAGCCCATAATGGAGAAGTGAAGGCATGATGGCAGGAAGAGCTAACATTGGAAAACAAGGAGGTAGAGTACTGGGGACGGCAGGAGGCTTCTGCCCCGAAGCCCGAACCCAAGTGACTACATCCTCCGCAGGACCACACCTCCCAATCCTTCCTAAGTAACTCCACCAACTGGGGGCCATTGGACCACATAGCTCAACCATGAGCTAAAGAAGCCGTTCTCATTCAGGCCACCACTCTTAGCTTAGCTTGTTCAATGTATGTAAGACTCATAAGTATTCTGGTTTACTTATTTTGTTTTTTCAAGACAGGGTTTCTGTGTAGCCCAGGCTGGCTTTGAACTCAGGGATCTGCCTGCCTCTGCCCAAGTGCTGGGATTCCAGGTGTGCCCCACCAGTGCCCGCCTCAGCTGTAGTCTTAGGAGCAGGCTCTGCTGTCAACACATCACTGAAGGACAGGCAGTGCTAAAAGATGAGGTCTGACTTAAGTGTAACAAGTGAGCTTTAAGCAATACACAATAAAAATGTCAACGCACTTACCTGCTTCTAGGCAGAGTATTAAACGAGCCTTCTGCTGGGTTCATACTAGGAACAGTAACTTACTTGCTTAGTGTTTCCACAGCGATTTATTCACAGATGAAGAAAACAAACCAGCTGTCCCTAGTGTGAAACTGCATGGGGCTTCCCAAGATGATTAGAGCTAGGCACGGGGCAGTGTGCCTTAAGTCCCAGCTGCACAGCCTGCTCGGGCAGCACAGTGAGAATTTATCAAAAAAAAAAAAAAAACGAAACAAACAAAAAACCGACAACAAAAACATAAACGACCTGGTGACTAATCTGTATTGCATCTCCTAAAAATTTAGTGGAAATTGTAATTCTTGAAAACATTAAAAAAAAATTTTTTTTTGAGACAGATTTTTTTCTATGTAGAACAGGGTTGCCTTGAACTCAACAGAAATGCACCTGCCTCTGCTAGGTCCCAAGTGGTGGGACTACAGGAATGCACCAGCACCTGGGTATAAAATTATTATTTTTATCTATTTGTGTATGTATGGGCCGGTCGGTCCTGGGATCAAACTGAGAGCTAGCCTAGCCACCAAGCCCTTTTTGCCTGCTGAGCTATCTCACCAGCCCTCTGAAAACATTTTAAACAGAATTAACTATCACCTTGTATTAATAAAATGAGAATGCAGATATTGTTAAATTTCATAGATTGATTTATTTAGAATTACAAATATTAAGAATAAAAGCTTTATGCATTTCTTAATTAACATAACAGTTTAGCTAAATATAAACTCTGCACTATCGGTCTGCAGTGCCCAACACCAACAACAAACATGGAAGCATTTTCAACTATACAAAAAAGTTCAAGGAAAATAATCTTATTTGTTTTATTATACATTAATATACAAAAAGTCTCATTTTATGAGACATCAAAGAATCAGAATCACCTCTATAGCTATATTTTAAACTCCAAATCTGAAAACAATTATATTTTGGCTTTATAATATTCTATATTAAAACAAAAATCTTAAAATACATACTTTTTTACAAGATTATTTTAGGCAGAGTTTTTCCTAAAAAAGAAAAAACCAAACCAAGCCAAACAAGAAAACAAGTAAAACCAAACCTCCTCTGTAATTCACGCTGGTCACATTCTTTCCTTATAAAATATTTTTACTTTATAAATTGTGTAATGTTGGATTTTAACCAGTAATCTGGTGTAAAGTTGTGCAAATAAACAAAAAATATGAAAATAGTGTGTTATCGCTCTTTTTAAAATAAATCTAACAATAGCACTTTTTGCCCTGAATCATGAAAAGGCATGCCAAGTCCACTTGCTGAAATCCAGCATTCCACAGTACAGTTCTTCCTGCTCCTTCATTTCCTTCTACCAATAAACAACAAAGCTTTTATAAATTATGATAAATTAAAATATTTATTATTATAAATTGATCTATAGAACCATGTCACACTGTCAGTGTATGGAACGTATATTTAGTCCCTGTTTCCCATCCGTTCTCCGGCGGCTCCTTCGCACAGGGCTTCGCACTCTCACGATGTGTATCTGAAGCCTGACATACAATCAAGTAATACACTGGACCGGTGATTTTTCATGGGCTTCCCACCTTCACGCACGGAAAGACCATGCTTCTTCATGCTCTGTCACAGGAGTCATCTTCATGTGCTGAGCAGAATTCATGCATGGAGAAAAAATGGGGAGCACACGGCTCCATGAGACAGTGCGTTCAGAGAGTTTCAGGTTAAAAAGATTTGCTGATAAACATGAACCATGAGCAACACTACTGCATCTGTATAATAAAAGAACAATAAATAAATGCTGGTCAGCACAACGCTGGTTTAAGCAGCAGTTCAGTGTATTAAAAAGCCGTATGTGGACATGTAGCGCTCCCCTGCTCTCCAGCAGACAGGTTATCTGGTGTTGGAAGCTTAGGTTAAGGAAAAGGACTCCACACGGAGGTCATGTGCAGCAGGACACCAGGTTTCCCGGGCTCAGTCTCTGTTGGTGTTGTTGGCTGCAAAGGCATGTAAGTTTCCCATCTGGCTCAGGCCACTCTGGATATGTGCAACATGGATTTCTACATTATTCTGGAAACAGCTAAAGAAAAAGAAAATACGGTTAACCTCACAAAATTTTTTTAAAAATGAAACTCATTACCATGGTGTGTGCCATGACATAACTGTGGCAGTCAGGGGATAATTTTGTGGAGTCTGCTTTTTCTCTCTTTTACTTGAGTTCTGGGGCCTGAGCTCAGGTCTCCAGGCTCGTATGGCAAATGTTCTTACCCACTGAGCCACCCTGACAGCCCTGCAGCTCATTACTTTATTACTGTGTGCACACTGCACATGCATGCCCTGCACACACACAGTGGGCTATCCACCTGCACACATAGTGGGCTATCCACCTGCACACACATAGTGGGCTATCCACCTGCACACACACAGTGGGCTATCCACCTGCACA